ATGGGTCCCTAGCTTAGGTTGATTCTCAGACACAACTACAATATGATTATGTATTAGTAATAATGAGAAAATGAGAAAATTTCAAGACCAAATCCTGTTGAATTTACATTCCCAACTTTGCAGGAGAAGTTTTAACTGTGGTTTGGTTCAGTTTATTGTTTTTCTCACTTCTTTCAAGATTGTTTTCAAGATTGTTTTCATTTGCATATGTCAATGAAAACAATCCTGCTAAAGTTGAACTTTGTAAAAACAATAAAATATTTTTAATACCACACAATGTCTAGTTCTAAACCCTGAAATTATACAACAGACTTTTTTTCAAATTCCCTTTATCACTGTCAAAGGCAGAGAGAGAGAGACTTCCTTACCTTGCCAGACTAAATAAATACAAATAGTAAGTATGAACATTGTGTCTTTGTTTCAACCTTTAAAACATTTCCCCAAAATGCAAAGAGTTGCTGGACAGCCAAAGAGCAGGCAGAGGATCATGCTTTTATATTACTTTCATATATATCTTTGTGATAATGTGCAGCATGCATTTAACATCTAAGGTTTGGGACTGTTTTGCTTGGCATTCTGATTTATTTTAGATGATCTACCTACCAGGCAGGAAAAAGCAGCCAAAGGTAATTTAACTGCCTGCATGAAAACCCAGGAAAATCTCACTGGGTGTTTACTGAACCACTCTGCTTGCTGCTACCTCCAGAGCTGGGTCTACGCCATGAACCTGGGATCCTGTGCCAGCCATTCCCCTGTTGGGACTGTCATGCCAGAGCTTGCTGCTGGCCCATTCTAAAGACAGTAAAAAGCTGTACAAGTACGCACACACCTACCACCATCCATCACTCGAGATACCAGCATCCCTCTGAGGCCCATGACGCACAGCTACACACATCTCTGTGTGTGTGCATGTGTGCACGTTGCCCCTATAGGTACATCATGGCATTCCTAATTATTGGACTGCTGCAGGGAGAGGCCATTAAGCCTTCCCTGTGACTACCCTACACTGAGGTGGAGAACACGGATGATTTCCTCAAGGATAACATTAAAGCCTTCTACTGGAGACCAAGAATGATAGCTTTGGCTTGCTGAAACACAGAGCTCGTATCTAGCACTGGAAAAGGTTCCAGCACAAGGGCTCACCACTGAGCATGTCTAATGGGTACAACCATTTCTTAACCTATTTTAAAAGCATTTTAAGATAACAATTTCTCACCTTTGGTATCTTAGAAAACAGATTCATCCCACTACTAAATAAAGCACAGAACTTAGCAGGTAAAAAAAAAAAAAGCTTTTAATTTTTTTCAAAACTTCTCCAACTTTTTCTTTGGATTTTTGCAGATGTGTGATACATTCAGTATACATGCTTTAAGCTAGAACAAATACCTCACTGGCATTTGTAGAAATGGCCTATGTAAATCATAGTTACACTAACACCCTCCCAAAAAGTCTTGGTTTTTATCTTGCAATAGCTGTGACTGCATTCATATCTGTATGTATGTGTACATACACACATATATATGTGTATGCACATAGGGAGAAATGAGAGGGACTGACTGCTGGAAATGTATGCTTATATATGTGTACTTTTGCCTTTTTATACATATATGTATGTACATGTATAGAGTCAAAGAGGTATATATAGATCTTTATACAGGCAAACATATAAAATTGTAAATACCTACATACACAAACATATACAAAAATAATATTTAAAACATTTGCATTCTTTCAGTTACAGAAAGTAGTCTAACTTGACTACAATCTGTATTTATCTCTGTTATGATGATTAGTTTGGTCCTAAAGACTCCCTTGTAATGTAAGACACACTTGCCTCTTGGAAAATATAGGATGGTCTATAAATCACAAAGCTGATGCAGTGAAGAAAATATCAACACTGAGTCCGACAGATATTGAACTCAGAGCTAAGGAAGTAAAAAGAAATATATTATTCTTTAGCAAAATTTACATTAAAAATCAAAATAAACAAAAACCCAATTATTATGATTCCAGTAGGACTTCAAAATGTGGAGAAAACCAGTCATACAGAATGTTTCAATAAAAAAGAACACAGAATATACTCTACATACAATACAACAAACTTTACATTGTTTCCCCACTGATAATGTTAAAATATTCAAATGTTGCTAGGTAATCTTGCCTATGAAATAATTGCCCTCACCAAAAACCTTGTGCAATAATACTTAATAACAACAAAAAGAAAAAAAAAAAAAAAAAAAAAAGTTGAAATTTGGATGAGCTATAAGGACAATGAAAATGTAAATAAATGTAAATCAGAATAGCTTGTTTGAAACATACTCTAACAATTACAAGATCATATCTTCTACACACTAGCCTTGAAAAAATAAATCTGGGACAATGCATGCTTTTGTGGCAAGCTACTTTCTTGTAATATGTTTACCTTAATTCAGAATGTAGTATCTACCCACAATGTAGCTTCCCATAAATTTTTCTTTGAACAGAAATTTTACATCAAGTAAAAATAGTTTTGTGAAAAATATTATGAACTGTACTCAGGAAAAATTCTGTGTAAGTGACACAAAACACAGTAAAACCAAGCACAGTTACTTCTTTGATTCAGTGTTCTAACTGGCAGTCTGTCTGTGGTTATCTCAGACATCTGCAATTCTGCTGTTCTACATGAAAAATGGTGATTTTCTCATAAATACTGCTCAGTGGAATGAGTTTAAGCACCTTTTCAAGTAATTTGCTAATACCTGGTTTCAGCTGGTAAATTGGAGCAACAATATGATACAAAGCAGGATATGTTTCAATCTTTTTCAAATCTACCAGTAGAACTTTTCAGATGAAACTTTTTTCCTATTTATTCCTTACAGAAGCAGCAAAACATTCTCATCTATTGTGGAGGTGATGAGTCTTCTTCCAATATTGCTTCTCAGTTTATTTTGTCCCCTTTACAATTTGATTTCTATACTTATCTATCTTTCTGTGGCAATCAAGAGTCTCCAATGATCTTCTATCCTTATGGCCCATAATTCTATAAAGTAAAATAGTCTTTCCATTAATTGTTGGTTCATCTGTCTTAAGAATAGTTGCCATGAATGGACTTTTTCCTCTTTTTGGAGCAAGGTAATAAAACTTTGTTGTGTTTATATGCATTTTTTTCTGTTGAGTTCATTGAGACACAGAGTTCATTCTTGGAACCTTATGGCCTGACCGACCTGAACAACCCAGATGATTTAATCATGATAAGGGAGAGAATAAAGTTACCAAAGTTCAAGGTATGAGTTTCATTGCCAACACCAAAAATAGCAGAGTCACCATACCTGTCACTCCAATCGTTAAAATCATGATACTGAAAGAGAGGCAAAGCATGACTTTGGAGACTACAGAAAAGCACGCAGTGTCTTAAGTTTAAATACTTGTGTGTAATTTAAGCAAAAAGAGATTGAAAATATATCATGGATATAAGGTCTCTTACAGCTTCACAACTTCTTCAGACCCCAGGCCACATATAGTTTGCAAATATGGGAACTCGAACTTGACTGTTGCAGTCGTGCTACCAACGTCCACTGGAGCCTTGACCAAGTCATGTGTTTACTGTCCTGTCTTGCCTTGTCTGTAAAATGGGTACAATTGTGTTCAGTGACCCATTTAACAAGGCCACTGTAAAATTTACTTACTTAATGTCTATGAAGAGAATAAAAACAAAGACTAGAAGGGCTAGGAGAATAGTGGGCTTCATTCAGCATTATTTTATTTGGGTAGCCAGCTGGATGATTCCTGGGTTGCAGCAAGAGGTTGACCCATTTGGCAAAAGCTAAAGTTATTTATATTTGTCTTACACTGAAAATTAATGTCCCCATGGCTTGAGTTTCAGGCAAAGCAGATGGTATTCCATATCACAAAGCCAGCAAACACCAGCATCATCTTCACATTTTCAGATAAGAGCAAATACAAAGAGTATTGTAGGGATGTGAAAGCAAAGTGGGGGGGAGACAATACAAAAAGAAATATTTCAGAAGAGTATCATTTGTACAGGACCCCTATGACATCACATGGAGTATGTTAAATTAGATGGTCTAAATAGGACAAGAAATTAACAGACTAAGCACTGTTTTGAAAGCCACAGAGCTCTGAATCCAGTTCTACTTACTAACTGGGTGGTCTGTGCAAGAAATTTCATGGGTTTGGGTTCACCTTTCCAATCTATAAAAGGGAATTCCAGCTACCTCATGAGACCTGGGCAGTACCACTGGGTAATGTTTGTAAGAAATCTTAAAAGGAAAAGAAAAGCGCATGTTGCATAACTGTTGCTGGCTTTATTAACTTAAATCACCAGGTAGCTGTCCGACAGCTAGTCAAGTTCATTTTTAATCTCCGACATGTCCCTCTGTCACTGCTTTCATGAAGGAAAAAGGTCACTTTTTCAATTTGTGTACAGTTTTACTTGGATACTTCCTCCAATATGAAAGTTTACATATGAGTAATAGAAAATGCCAGTGTAATGACAATGGTCCATTTCTATATTTTACTCTAGGTAAAACAACTCTACTTACATAGCTAACATCTGTCTATGTAGAGATCTATCTGAAGATGCAGTCTTTTTATATCTGAGGATCTCACAAGGCAATAATAAACTACAGCTGTGAAAACATCTAGAGTATTTTACAATTACTCTTAAACTAAGACCGTGAAATACCTTAAAAACATAAAGATTATTATTCATGCTCTTGGGGAAACTGAGGCACGCCTGAACTAAGTGACATGGCCAAGGCTGCACAGAGAGTTAGTAGAGGGAGTCAGCAGCTCCAGAATTTCATGAATCCTTAACCCCGACTTAGAAGTACAGCTCATTTCAGCTTATACTTCTCCCATCAAGCTTAAGGTGAGATAGGTGATGGTTTGCACCACACAGTCATTCCCTTCCCTTCTTCGCTGACAAGGGGGATGCTCATCCCAGCTGAGCCGCCCCATCCCCGCCGTCCCCATCGCCATCCCCATCCCCGCGCACTCACCTGCTTGTAGGCGTCCAGGAGGAAGCTGTTCCAGACGCAGCGCAGCCCCTCCGAGGTCAGCATCCTCCGCCACTCACCGCGCCCAGACTTGGAGCGGCTCAGAAACAGAACCATGTGCTTCAGCAGAATCACAGAGTCATAGAGCGCGAGAAAGAGGCAATTGGAGAAAAAGACCGGCAAGATCTGAAGCGTGATCAACAAATCCACACTTAGCAAACCCATCTTCCTTGCTGTTTCGCTTCAGCCGGATACCTTCAGCTCTCTTTATTGCTCTGTACCCTCATTTAAAAGAGTAAAGCAAAAGGCATTTCAAAAGCCTCATTACCCCTTTCATAGCTGCTCTATTTAAAATAAGCAGAGATAGTTAAGTATGAGCAGGCTGCTTAAAAACATAACTGCACGATAGTCATTCAAGTGCAAGCTGCTTATTTTTCAGAAATTTAGATGTTAACAAAAATTCTTCTCTTAACCAGGAGACCTGATTTTGCTGAAGAGAGAGGCAGCTGTTTTTCCAGTTCCCTGCAGTTACAAAATTTAAGCTGAGACTGTTAATTGTTAACTTTCCTGCACTATCCCATTGTTTCTCCGATATTTAAGCACTGATCAGATCTCACATTTCTGTGTCAGTAAAGCTAGCTACTAGGTGCAACAATACTTAAAAAAAAAAAAAAGGTTTATGTACATGAACTTTCTGTTCCTTCCTCCCTGCTTCCCTCCCTCTCTTTCCCTCTCTGCCTCCCCCGTCCCCCCCTCCTACTCCGCGTCTCTGTATTCCTGCCTTCCTCCTCTCGCACTCTCTGCTATCTGCCTATGGTGCAAAGTGCTCTCTCCTCTGGAGTCCTAGCTTGCTTCCCCGAAGCCTTTTATACATTCCCTAGCTAATTGCTGCAATAGAGAAATGAAACCCTAATCTTAGCAAAGATCTTGACGTCAATGTAAAAGAGGGCTTTACTTTGGCCAGGACTGCAGTGAATAGAAAAAATGAAATTCTCAAAACTTTTTTTTTTTTTTCCCTTAAGAGAGAGGAGAGAAAAAGAGAGACAGAGCAAGGGTGGAACTTTGCTTTGAAAAGGAGAAAGAAAAAACCAAATATGCTTCTGAATGTTCTTGCAAATTTTGGAACAAGTATTTTCATGTAACATGGAAGGTGACACAGCAACACAGACTTCTGTTATCAACAGGTTTTTTTCTCCTGGTTGGATTTTTTTTTTTTTCTTTATCCTTTTTTTTTTTCTTTGATAGGAAGGTCCTCTGAGTTGATGCATCCTAAGAAAGGGCATATTTCTGTAACATTTTTCTCCCACCTGCCTGAAGTACATGTTTAGTGTTTAAATACCTTTTGTTGTTTTCTTGGTAATGTAAGTGAACACCTATAACTGACTTCATCTACTGATGTGTAAGAGAAGGAGATAAGAAAGAGATAAAATAAGTTTTTTATGGATTTGTGTTTTTGAAGCTAAAGTTCCCTGCCTAAAAAAATATATGCTTCAGCCTTAAATGCTTTTAAATCAACTGAGCTTCAAGGACTTTAATATTCCTATTTAATATTAGGGTAACAAGCTTTTGGTTAAAAGCTTGTAAGAAAAAATAGAAGTTTCCTATGGCAGAGCCATTGGTACTTTAACAATTGCAAGGATCCCCTTCAGCCCCATGCTGAAGGTTTTTTGTTCATTTGCACTTCTCTTTGTTTCACCATTTTAGTCCAACACTTAGTCCTCTTCTCACATGATTTTTTGGGGAGCTACAGTAGACAAGTTTGTTTGGGGTTTTTTTAGCATGGTTCTAAATCCCTTAGGTAAAATTTCACTAATTTCCTGTTGCAGATATCCATAAGTCTGGGTTTTAGTGGATGTCTTCACTATATGCTTACTAGGCTCTCCTCACCAGATACATTTCATTCCCAGAGATGCCAGCATGATATCTAGTCTCTGTCAACTCACATCCTTGATGAGGAGCACAAACTTACTTCATTAATATATCTTAGTCTTCATCAGTCATCACTGTCCTTTCTCTGCTAGCAAATGTGGAAGGTAAACACCATCTTCCTTACTCTGGGGTCTTTAATTTTCAGACATTGTAATATCACCTGGCCTGTCATTATACTAGGATGTACACTTCTAGAAAAGCCACCCCATGTCTTGTCTTGTTCTCACCAAAGAAAAGTTTGTTTAGGTAGCTTAACTTCAGGCATTCTCAAAAGATATCACTCAGACAGGATATCTTCCAGCAAATGTTTACTCATAGAAAAAACTTTAAAAGGTTACACACATTAAACCAGTGACCTTCTGCATTACTAGCATAAACAAACAAACAAACATAAAAAAGACAGAATTTCTTTTTCAAACTACTTTTTAAGTCAAATGTTGGTGATGACATTTTTCTGTTGCCATAGAAGGATTGCAGCCTCACAGATCTGGCTTTATTACTAAAACTTGCAAAAACACGTTATAAGAAGGCATTTATATATCCCCACACATGGATGAGTCAGTGTGCTCATGTTATGTGAGCACAAGACAGGAACAAGGGTCCCCAGAGCTGCTAAACTTGCTTACTGTCTGACCTCGGGCAAGCATATGTAATCACTTGATTACAAGCACTCTTAAGCCTAAGCTACTCCTCTGTAGATTCACCACTAAAAAATACATGATTCTGTCTGGGAAGGTCCCCTTTCTTTATTTTGGGAAGGTCTGTTAAACGGCAGGCCTGGAGATTGCTGATGACAGTGCCAGATGAATCATCAGCCATTGTTTCTGAGAACAGTTTGCAAACAGCTCTGAGGACAGTCCAGCTCAGGCTCTTCCTGTTCCCTGGAGGTAAAGCCAGGCAAGACCTTACCCTGGGAACAAAATGTATTCTGGGTTCCTGTGAAACAACTGCCCCTACCCACAGCATGCTTCATGGGTGAAGAGGTTGTTTGTAAGACAGCTGGAGACCAGACAGCTACAGGGCTTTGAAGTGTATTGGGAACTGAGCACGAAGCCCATGGAGCACTGGTGGGAGATGGTATCTCCTATTTACTAAGTCACCTCTCTTGCCTATAAAGCTGACTGTGTGGATAGAGTTAAACAGAACTGCAACAGATTGTATTTGGGAGTGTGAGATTGTGTTTTGTGTTTGTGTCAGTCAAAAAATGGATGATAACTCCCTAACAGAACCATAAAGTCATAAATCTTTTGAGCAAATAAATGTAAAAATCTAGTTTTTCTCATTACTGCCTTCAGAGGAGCCCGTCTCTGCAGGCCACAATGTGCTTCTAGTCAGCTTGACAGTAGAGTCCAGTGGCCCTCAACAGGGATGGAAAGCTTAACCCTACTTCTTGTAGTTTCAGTCAAGAAGTTTCTCCTTGACTGAACCAACTGATCCCTGTGTTTATTTTAGACATCAAAAATACAAGGGAAATCACTATCTGCATCTTTTGTGAAATACAGATATGTAGAGCATAGTCTCACTTTTGAAGCCAAGAGTCTGTTGCTATTTTCCTGCAGATGGTCATGAGACAAGAAAGAAAGGCTAGATGTTTCAGATGTTGAGATATTAAGAGAGCCTTGAAGCCTTCCTTCTTGAAGGAAAACTGGATGAATTTGATACACGAGGAAGAATTAGGCAGAATTGAATTTACTCATGAAAGAACTGAAATAGGGTTCAGCTAAAGCTCATTTCAGTTACCTGCTCTGCCATACCTTCCTATATAATTTGGGCATAGCCCTACAATGTACCTCAGTTCTTCATCAGCAAAAGAAAATAAAAGTCCTCTCGTAATCTAAGGAGCAGTCAGGTTCAGTAATGGGAAATTAAACATATCATCCATAATTTGTCAAGGTGGAATGAGCAAAGCCAACAACATTAAAGCATTTACTGTTACTAAAGCTTGTATGTGGCTAAAGTCAACAGTATCGGTATAGATGTTCATATTCTGTAATGTTTATAAAAATCAGTGCCATCAAAACCAAAACCGTGCATAGCATCATGTTTCTTTCCAGTTTCAACCCCAGTAGCATGAAGATTAGGACATGAGTCTCTAGTAAGTTTGCTTAACTGCAACTCTCTTGATAACTGTAACTGGACACATAAAATTTGAGGTGGAGTTACTACAGCCCAAGCCACTTCTACTCTCATTTTATAGTGCATGCATACTGGCTTTCTGCATGTCAGAGAGTGTGTTTTACACAGTTTTTTGTGTAGGTTTTTTGTTGCTTAATTACCTGTGTAAGCTACTGTGGCACTCAATCACACTGTTTTTCAAGACTTAGTAGACTGATTGATATTTTAATTACTCAGCCTTTATTTTCTGTAAGCAAGACTATTTTGAATACTCTTACTCCTTGCAGCACAGCTGTGAAAGGCAAGCAAGTGACAGGCAAGCAAGGCTGCTGCTCTCATCCTACCCCCAGGAGGTTCATGGGAGAGACCATCCCAAAGGATTCAGTACAACCTGTATGCCTCTCTTGCTGCTTCTCACTGCTTTCACTGCCAAAACCAAAGAATGAAGCTTTTTGTTTCAGAGCTAGTTAGTGTGTCCATGAGCTTATCCCTGGAGAATTGTGCAGCTGCAGAGTGATACAGCTAGAGATGGGGAAGAGAAAAGTTTAGCTTAGCCTTGCCGCCCTGGGCAAAATTTGTTTATTAAAGCCAAACAAGAATTTGTACCTTTCATAAACCCTTTTTTTTTTCTCTTTGCCAAAAGATAAAAAATCATCCCTATCTCTCAGCAACAATTCCCTCACTTAAAATGCCATTGAGCATTCACTGTCTATTTATACTTTTTGATCAGGATCAGCAGCATATTTTCTTTCTATATTTAATGAAAAAAGAATTCTATTTTTTTGCACAGTTGCATTGTTATGTGAATGGATTATCCATGGTGTGGATCTCCAGGCCTTACCTTCCTCCATCACTCCTGGCCGCATCACCTCATCCGAACTGAGCACCGTGCCCAGCCTCATTCTGCCTGCTTAAAGCTTCCTCTGCTCTACAGGAATTTGCCTACCAGCATCTCCAATGTGAGCACACCAAATCTATCCTTACTGCTTAATTTATTTACCTTTTGTATAAGCCTTGATTTTGTTTTATTTGGGTCATTCTACCATTGCTATTATGCTGCATAATTGAGAGTTGATTATTTTGTGAAACTGGCAGCTGTGAGAGCTGTTGATTTAGTGCCCCACAGACCTGATTCCTTAAGTTTATCTGCAGTGTGGCTGAGTACAGGTAAGAAGAATGCAAATTGCCCACAGGAGCAGCTCTCCATAGCAATTTGGAGTGAAGTCCCTGAAGCAGATAAAGGACCTCACCCTCACTGCCCACTCAGTCCACACAGCAGTGCTACAATTAGGGGTCATTTCATCCAATAGGGGTCAAACTGGAGCAGTACTTAAATGAACTAAAGAAGAAAAAGGCCATATAATTGGGTCACTTCTAGATAAGGAAAGAACAGAATATTCTAGGAGATGGCAAGTTATAACTAGATACACCAGGAAGTAACTGAGGTTGTCTTCTAATCAAGCTGCAGTTGTTCAGAAAGATCGAAGTGCTCAAGGAGAACTGGGACTGCTAATGCCTCTGCAAAACCTGTTCTGTAAACTTCAAAGCTGTCAGTCTGGCACCTTCTAAGAGCCTGCATTCATTGTATGATGGCACAATGAAAAAAATTGACTCATGGGTGTGGTTGCATAATAGTGACAAATTTGAGACTACAAAAATTCCTCACATCCCTTCACTAACGAGCTAAATTTC